ATCTTCAAAACAACAAAAAATTGACTGTGTGGGTTTTGGGAAATTCCCTTTTCGGTTGCCGACAGGACCAGTCACAGTGACTTTCTCCTGCCCTCCGACTGTCTCAAGCAGACAATCTAAGAGTGCCCACAATTTATCAGCGCCCAAGAATTCTTCAGAAGAAGGTGGAACAGTGAAGTTTTCAAGCCGCTCATAGCGTTCCAGTGGGATTTTAGCATCGCTGTATTACTGATGTATCTGGTTATTTATGAAGCACTCTGGACATTATGGGCTGTCAGAACACCTCTGTGTGAGTGGGAGGCGACCTTCAGACAAGCGCACAGTAGGACCAAAGGGTCTCTGGGGCAAAGCATTATCTGTGCTACTGGGATGTACTATTGCATGTCTGGAGGGGGAGTGGGGTTCCTTGCGCACCGTGTTAGGGGGTGGGGGCAAAAAGAGGAGCCCTCAGCTTTAATGGGCAAGCACAACAGTATTTTTTCCTGGAGGATTCGGAGCCTCAGAGAAGTACAGAGCTGCAGATGCTCCCCTCTCCTCACAGCTGCCCCCCCCCCTTTTGCTTTGTTCACACCCAACAGCCCCCCCCCCCCCTCCAAAGAGCGCTAACAGTTGAATTGCCCGCTTAATTAGCTACATGCATCTATTGGCCACACAGTGCCCTATTCAGCCAGTGCTCTACATTGTGGGAGTTCACAGAGGGGGGGCGCTGAAGAGCAGCAGGTTACGGTTAACTGTTGCCTTCCCTCCCTGCACAATCGGAGCTGTCATGTGCGTCCAGAGATCAGGACTGAACCCACACGTTCTCCTGCTTCTGTTGGGGTAACAAAACTGCCAGCATCTCTATTCTTCCTTTCTGGGGATTTTTTTTAATCCCCCTCCCCCCCACACGCCTGGATCATTGACTCACATAAAGACAGACACCTCCACTGTAAGGAAGATGTGACCTATGTCTTTGGTGGGGAGAGTGAGGGGGTGTTGCAGGGCTGCCAACTTCGGTCAGCTGACTGCAGTGAGATTTTCAATTCGAGACATGTCTGCACACGCATTTACATGTATGTAACAGCTTCATTACCTTGTAAATGGTCTGTAGGGTTTGCAAACTACCCCAACGCTTTTAATGTAGCTAATATTATGTTTATAATGGAATAATATAGATTTGCCGTAATATTTCTTGCGTGAGCCTGAGAGTCTGAAAGTGTGAGTGTCTCGCCAGGTGCATGAGACCTGGCAACCCTGGTACAGTATTGCTATTACTGTGCATCAGTGACCCACATTTGAAAGTGACTTCTGTGGTGGGGGGGCGTGACACCAGGCAGGGCCGAGTAGGTGAATGCGGGAATCTGATCACTGGATTCTACACAAAACCTGCTTTCTTTCTCATGCCGGCTCTGCTCATCCTCACTGGAGAGTGCAGTTCGTCTGTTTTTTAAATACTGATGAGTCATTTGGAAATAGAGGCCTGTTTGGCTACCGTCCAATGAGCAGGAAGAAGTGACCAAACGGCAGAAAAAGCACACGGCACTGTATTTGCAGGTAATCCGCTTCATTCTTACTGGATGTTTTTAAAAGCAAAGAACGCAGTAAATACTAGCAATACTTGGTTAGCATAATTTTTTGTTACAGTTCATTTATTTTTCTTCTTATCTCACGTAACATCACCCATCCACCACCGGTAACTGCTTCTCCGGTACAGGGTCACACCCAGCCTGCAGCTTTCTCCATACTTATCACAGTGGTCTCCCTGGACGGGATGTGCTTAATAATGTCTTTCCATTATATTTTATAACTTGTGGGTAAAATTCTTGAGAAGAGGGGAGTTTAAACACCTGCACGGTGCCTCCTGTTCCCACAAGGTGCGTTCCCATAACCGCAGGGGCAGCGCGGCCTTCAGATGCCCTGTGGAACGAGGGAATCGTGATTATGATCTTGCAAAATGGTCACGTCGATCATGGTGAATTACTTTAAGTCGCAGGCTCCGGTACGCAGCTGCTCTGCCTTCCTCCACCGACGGCAGCCAGCTGCAGGAACATCTCCCGCGACCCGAGGCGCATATCATTCATTGGCACCTGGACGTCGATGTTTTCCACAGTCTTTGGGGGCAGTGCCCGAAACTCTCCAGCGCCCCCTACAGCCCGCATCTGGGAATGTTACCTGGAGGCTGTTAGTGCACACATGTAAAGCTTGTGTGACTCACAACTGGGCTTATGAATACACGTCAGTCACGGGGTCGGATCCTGTGTGGTCCGTCGTTCTTCAGCACGTCTGCGTGTGTCACAGTAGCTGTATATCGGACCCCCGTCCTCCATGAATCAAACGTTTAGACATCCGTCCGCTTGGCGGTAGATTGAGCCTGAGCCACGTTTCCATGAGCTTTGAATCTTCACATATGGGAGTCGTCAACCCATTATTTATAACCTCCATGCATAAAGTCAGTCTGAAACATTCATTAATAATTGTGTAACAGATACGTTTCCTTTGTGGCCGTTTCTCTCCTCCCACTAGAGTCGCCCATTTTGGCTTCTTTTTTATCTTCTGTACTGTTTGCGCATGCAGGGGATGAACAGATGAAAATTTGAAATATATGGATCATTACATGAAACTCGCAGAGCATACATAAGCAGAAACATCACCAATCATGGTTGAAGCTCTTCACGATGTAAACATGCGATGACAGATCCATGGTCATATGAGAAAGTCAATAACATGGGGCATTTCATTATAAACTGTGTCTTGAGCAGTTATAATAATCAATATACCTGAGAGTGTAATGTCCCATCCAATCAGAGTGTCCTTTCTCTAGTATTCCCCAGAGACTTCAGTCTGTTTCAGCAAATGTAGACTGATATGTCTGCTGATGACTCGTTCGTTTTACTCCGAGAGGAGATTGTGTAAATCAGATAACACAAGCTAACCTAACACACAACGCCATTACCGCTGTTAAGAATTGCTTTCCAAACACTGGCCCTGCAAAAAAAATTTTATTCATCTGAAATGTTTTTTTTCCCCGTTGACTCCGCTCGTTACCCTCAGACATACTCCCTTATACTCATTCAGGGTCCTCACCCTCAGACATACTCTCTTATACTCATTCAGGGTCCTCACCCTCAGACATACTCCCTTATACTCATTCAGGGTCCTCACCCTCAGACATACTCCCTTATACTCATTCAGGGTCCTCGCCCTCAGACATACTCCCTTATACTCATTCAGGGTCCTCACCCTCAGACATACTCCCTTATACTCATTCAGGGTCCTCACCCTCAGACATACTCTCTTATACTCATT